AATTACGTTCTCGTGGTTGTCCTCGTCGAAATAATACAACTTATTCGAGCCGTTCTCAATGTTGGGGATGTTATTGTACGAGTGGAATCCGATCTGAGCCAAACCGTACTCTACGCGTTCGTCCGAATGCAGCGGATTGACAAAGTCGATGGACAAAACCGAACTGTGTCCCTTCAACGTAAAGATGACGGACATGTTCTCTTTTGGGGAGAGGCGCGCGCTCCCTCGCTTTTATAGAGAAATTACAAGCATAAATGGCCGCAATTGTACTGTGTAAATTTTTGATATCGGTCGTGATTGTAGTAGATGTTGACGCCATTACCGCCGAAGTATTTAACCAATTCGACGGGCGGTTTTAGGTTACCGAAACTGTCGAAATAGTCGACATCCGTCCCCATCTTTTTGTAGGCTACCCAGTGAGTTCCTCGATTTCGACTCAAGTCCAAATTAACTATACCACACTCTTTCGATCTGATTCGTTCGGGTAAGGTGTCTCGCATAAAGACACCCCTAAAGTAAGGTATTTTTAACTTGCGTGCCGCCACCACTAAATCGACATCGTATAGGGCTCTTCTGGGCAGCTTTATAGGAAGTTTTTTTGCTTCTTCAGGTAGAGACCGAATCCGCCGCTCGGACTCTTTTTCAAAAATAACCCCGAACCGGTCTTCCCGATCTCTTCCATTGCGCAGTCGTGTCGAATGTCCTCCTCTAGTGAGAGCGAACCCAAAGCCCCCAGGGCACCCAATAACGGTAAAAGGGGTAAAATTCCCCCCTTCTTCTTCACATTAATTTTTTTACGCCCGCCCGCCTTTTTGACGGCGTCTCTGCCCTCCCGAAGCGCCTCCGACGCACCGCGCTTTAAAGTTGTCGGATTATCGTGGTGCAACAATTGTTTTTTCTTCAATGCGTTGCGAATTTTTTTAACGATCCCCTGTCGAAAGGAAACGGGGCTACGCTGCTTGCGGGATACTTTAATTTTCTTGCGACCACCCGCCTTCTTTTTTTTTAGCCCCGAGCGACGACGTTTCTGCTGCTGCTGCTGCTTCCGCTGCTTTGGTTGGCCCATACCGAGCTTGCGTTTGGCCTTAACTGTGGCAGTGACAAGGAACGCTCCCGCTTTTTCACCAAACTTCGCGTCTTTCGCTTTTACTCGCTCCCACGCACGCTTTTCCAACTCTTTATCCGCTTTGTGGCGCTCCTCGAGCGATTGGTGTTGCGAATAAGCAATATCGTGTTCCCTACACGCCGCGTCCAAAGGATTCACACCGCTATCGCCGCGACTAAGCCGTTTTTTCAATTTCGTCCCCGGTCCGCAAAATTGATAACCGGGAAGGTGTAGTTCGAAAGGTAACTTATTTATCAGCGTGTTAACGAGGCCGCTTCCGGACGCAAAGTATAACATACTGACAAAATAAAATTACGGAGTGTCTATATATATATATATATATATATATATATATATATATATATATATATATATATATATATATATATATATATATATATATATATATATATATATATATATATATATATATATATATATATATATATATATATATATATATATATATATATACAGGGGGGTGGAGGTGGTTGAAGTAATGCAGCACTCTCCCTCATCGAAAATTTAGATTCTGGTTTCGTTTAAAGATTTTTTTTTGCTGGAACAAGAACGTCATCAACAGGAACACCGGGATGTTCGGCTAACTGGACGCAAAAAGAAGAAGAAGAAGACCGTCCTCGATAAATATTTGATATTGTATATATAGTTTTCTTTAATTAAACTTGGACACGTGGGGCGCCTCGCGGTGACTCAGCCGCTGATAGGAATAATGTCGAGAGCGCGCGCGCGCGCGACATCTAGCAGCAACGGGACGAAACCGACGGTACATAATTAGCTCGGCATTAAAGTGACCGTTCAACGACGGACGGGTTTTCTGTCGAGAGCGCGCGCGCGCGACATCTAGCGGCAACGGGGCGGAACGGACGGTACATAATTAGCTCGGCATTAAAGTGACCGTTCAACGACGGACGGATGCAGCCCCCCCGAGATGGGGGCGGGCACTCTACCAGCGGGGGCTACGCCGCGGGGACTCTACCAGCGGCAGCCCCCCCGCGCGGGCCCCCCGAACCCCGAACGGCACGCGGGCGAACTACGCACCACGGGCCACGGTTTGGTTGGCACCACGGACAACGGTTTGGTTGGCACCACGGACGACGGCTTGGTTGGCACCACTGACAACGATTTGGTTAGGTTGGCACCACGGACGACGGTTTGGTTAAGTTAGGGCGAGTGACCGCAGATGACGGGGGGGCGGCGGGGGGGCGGGCACTCTACCAGCGGGGGCTACGCCCCCCGGGGGGGCCCCCGCGGGCGAACTACGCACCACGGACCACGGTTGGCACCACTGACAACGGTTGGCACCACGGACAACGGTTTGGTTGGAACCACGGACGACAATTTGGTGAGGTCGGTACCACGGACGACGGTTTGGTTAGGCTAGGGCGAGTGGCCAATGGGCGAGTGACCTTGAAGGAATGGGCGAGCGGTCAATGGCCGAACGGCCAGACACACAAAAGAAGACATATGGGCGAGTGGCCAACGGTCCAAAAGAAGAGAGCCGTGGCCGAGTGGCCCGGGGCGGGGGCCCGTGGCCGAGAGGCCAAAAAGTGAGGTTATGGGGTCCCTGGAAGTCCCTTTATCCATCTACTAACATAGCATCTCATTTGAATAAATTGATTTGCGCTGTATGTCCAGATTCGAAAATTGAGTTTTGACAATTCGAATCTTCATAAAATTGTTGTTCGGGTGATAGAACCCTTTCATCATTATTAATCTCTTCTAGATGCCAGAACCTTTTCAATTGAGAATCTAGATCATGTGCAATACTAAGATTGCAAGAAATTTCATTGTGAGTAGTAGAATATTTTCGAGGAAACACTGTTCCAGAAACTATCCAACCTAAAGATGTTTTTTGTAATGTTGATAGTTTTTTCCCAAGCTTAATTTGTCCTACACATATAAGTTCCCAAAAACGATCAGCCCGTATTAATAGGTCAATTTCACTAGACTTGATGTAGGTGGGATCAGCTAATACAAGATTTGGAGGAATCTGTACTAAAGATGTGTCAATAGTGACAGCTGGCAAGTTGCCTGTGATTTTGGGTATTACAAGACAGTTCAGTTGTACATTGAATGAATTTTGACGTGACTGAATCTTGAGTGATGTTGATTCTAAAGCCTTGGAATTTTGTTGACCAATACCAGCAACGGTAAAATTAACTGATTTGGTAGGCAGTTGCAATTTTTTGCACAATGATTGTGTTACAAAGCTTGATTCACTTGCATTGTCTAGAAGTACTCGAATTTGATGTGAGTTTCCGAGTTTGTCAAATGTATTCACTAACGCAGTAGAAAGTAATACTGTACCTAAACTAACATTGCTAAAATGGCTTGATTTAATGTTGTCATTTTGATTGCTTTCTGAATTTTTTGAGTGATCAACTATCGGCAATGGTTTAGTTGGTGTGTTTTCATCTTTACTATTTTCAAAATGTAGTAAAGTGTTGTGTCTCTTTTCGCATTTTTTACAAAGCACAGATCTACATTTATCAGATGTATGATTGTTACGCAAACAATTCAGACATAGCTTCAGTCGTTTAACTTCACCACTAACTAACCAGGACAATTAAAAATTAAATGATCCTTGCTGCAAATTGGTGTTTGCGATACCTTATAAGCCTTTACTAATTTTTGAGGTTTTGATTTAATTTGATGATTGTTGTTCCCAAAATCTAAATTTTCAAGGACCTTACATATTTGTTCAAGAAAATTTGTAAAAATGTCTTTAGTTACCTTGTCATGTTTTATGCATTCATTTTCCCACTGACGCCGAGTTGATGAGTCAAGTTTCAAGGACATGATTTGTAAAATTAACGCATCCCAAGTATTTATTTGTTGGCCTAGTGCCTCTAACGCTCTTAAATGCCGTGTCATACCATCAAGTAATTTTCTTAAATTTGTATGATTTTCCTTAGTTAGAGTTTCAAGTTCAAGAATTGCATAATGTGGTTTCTGACTAAAATTTGTTTATTTTCATATCTGTCACACAAAAGTTTCCACGCTACTGTGTAATTTTCTGAAGATGTTTCGAGAGAGCTTAAAAGTGAAGCCGCTTGGCCTTTAAGCGATAAACGTAAATAATGAAATTTTTGTATGTTCGGTATTGAGTCATTATCACATATAAGTGAAGAAAATGTATCTCTGAAAAATGGTCATTGTTCATATTCTCCCTCAAAACAGGGAAGAGGTATGGGCGGTAATTTTATATTAGCATTGTAGCCGACTTGAGAATTTTGTGCAATGTTACTGTGTACCCCTCCTGAGAGATCTTCCATCTCTGGATGGTTAGTTGATAAAAATGCCTTAGCCTGACTTATTATACTGTAATAAGAGTCCTCGAAATTTGCTCTTTCCTGATCATGTACTTCAAAACCAGTTTCATGGTCACAATTTTCAATTTCGGTTTGAATTTGACAAAAATTATCCAGAATGCCTTGAATGTCTGTAAAGCGAACTTCAAATTCAACTAAATTTGGAGGTACCTGGATTTATGTCCTTTCGAAAAATGTATTGAATCTTGTTAACTGCGATTTGATGTTTCGACGTTTGTTTTTCAATGTTTGAAGATTTGTTTGATTTTCATTCGACATGCTTGCTCACTGGTAATCGACTAAAACTTTTGGATTGGTAGGAACACCTTGAAGGAACGCACTAACCTGAATGGATTAAGCTTTGTATCCCCTCGGATGTGCATAAGAGATCTTCGGAATCGCCTGTTTGTTGGCTTCGCTTTTTGATTGTTTAATTCGTAGCTTAATTTCCTGTGATTTTTTGAGTAGAAATCAAACACACACGTGTTGACATGGCGAGATTTTATTCTTGACCATATATGGTCATGGACCCGGGTCGAACACAGAACACAAAATTAGACAGTTCATATCAGCTGGGATGCTGCGGTGTCGGTTGTATGCGATGTTGCCGGAACGTGCGATTTGCCCCTAACAAAGCCCCTTGGCAATTTCTCACATGCGTATGATGCGCATAGGTTAAAAGAATGACAAATGCACTTCATAGTAAAAAGGTGAGGTATGTCATTTTTAAACAAAGTGATTAATGAATATTTATCTCCAAACATAACGTTAACGCCATCAGAAGCAAAGCCTATCATGTTTGATTTGTAAGGAATATTTTTTTCAACAAAATATTCTACTATTTTGCCATACAACGCTGTTGCTGTACCATCTACGATTGGTATTAAAGTCAGAAATCTATCTTCAAGGCTGAAATCTAATTTTACTATTCTAGCGACAAGCCCTAATGTTTTATCGTAGATTTATCTGTGCTTTCGTCAACAAGTAATGCAAAGCAATTGTTCTGTAACATCTCTATCATATTTTCTTCAGCTGTCTGCCCAGTTACATTAACAATAATAGCTCTAGCTTTTGTGCGGCTTATAGATAATTGTTCAGCAATTTTCGAATCTGGACATACAGCGCAAATCAATTTATTCAAATGAGGTGCTATGTTAAAAGACAGATTATGCTCAGCAATAAAGCAGGCCATTTTTACTTCACCCGCTTTAGCTGCAATTTTCGTATCTTGTGAATTGGAAGCTTAGGTAAACATTGATGTCAGTTTTTGTTGTTTTTGTAACTTCAAACTATTCTTAGCGTGTTTGGTTGAATCTTTGTGTCGTAACAGTTCGTGTATACCACATTTTCTGACTCAATTACACGCAGAACAAAAGAAATAAGTCTCGCCTTTAGTGCTTTTCTTTAAGCAGCCTTTAACCTATCATCTTTTAACCACGAATTTACGAATTTCTGTTCGTATTTGACATCTTTCTTCTTAGGAGGACTTTTTCCAGTTGATGAATCACTACTCATTTTATCAAAAACTTTGTAATTATTTTTTCAAAATAGACGCCGCAATTCAAAGAAACTGTTGTGACGTGTGACTATAAAACAATACTTACGCTACGCAATACAATAGGCGTGTAGCTGCTATTCGTAAATAGGGATTTCCCCGTGCATAAAAATATAAAGAAGATACTAGTAGTTTATAGGTACACTCCTCTCCCTTTTTGTGGGCGTGTCCTCCTTCCCCACGACTCTCTAGCTCCTCCGCCTTTACCCATAATCCCTTGAAACTGGCCCCCATTGGATAAGCAACCAGAAATGTGGGGTTTAATCAATCCCCCTCCTCTAGTTTGCGATGGCGGCGAAGCCAATCAGAGCCCAGATATTTTCCCACCCGTAATAAAAGCAATGGCGTCAATGAGACTTGATCATATTGTTCGCGTGACCATCTGCACCCTCTAGCGGTTCGAATGTAAACTAGTGTCCCCTCTTGAAATAAGATTTTCTTTAATAAGGTAACCCCACCTAGTGAATATTGACCAAAACAATTTATTTTAAAAACATATAGTTCTGCGAATGTGTACCCTCGCGGGTACAAACTGTACTTTTCACTATTGCGCACAAAGGACAGGGGAAATAAAGACGAAAAGTGTTGGATTTCTTTTTTCGGAACTGGAAGCTGGCAGGCACCACCAATAATATCTGCAAAACAAAAACCTGGTTAAAATTTTCATTAATAAAGTAGGATATTAGAAACCATATACTTTTTTAATTTACTAAGCCATCTACCGTGCGTTAACTTCATACATATTTCCGCATGCTTCTGTTTTAAGGTATCGTGAAATATTTGACTATTTATCTGGGAAAAGTTCATATGTCGAAAATATTATGTGTATGTGGCCGTGGTAGGCTTTCTTTGCTATTATAATTTTATTTTTATTATTTAATATTTACAAAATTAATTTATCTATCTTATTGATGATTTTGATTTTCTTTGCTATTTTATTATTTGTTTTTACTATTTAATATTTTCAAAATTAATTTATCTATCTTATTGATGATTTTAAGATATCGCAGTCAACTTTACTATTTCATCAATTTCTTTTATTTATTGCTGATCTTTGAGGATAGTGTACATACTTTTTTTCGTAACTTATCTGTATCTACCCTTTAATTTCCTATGAAGCCATAAAGCAAACTCGAAAGGCATCTTAACTAAAAAGTCATATACTTTAAAGCTGCTACTACTACTACATGAAAGTGTGTTTCTATGGCAATCTCAACAACAATGAAATCTGGACGCTTATACTAAATACTGTAATACTCTTCTCTGCTAACGCTCTAGGAGACGCTATTTGAACCCTGTTCAAAGAAAAACTTCTACAGCCCAAATAACCTCTCTGAACCACACTTAAGCGCATCACTCTTTCACTGTCCTGCAGCCTTCAGATTAATATTCCGTACTAACTACGTATGCCATACACGAAACGTTCTCTTTTCTAATTTTTTTCTATGCGCTACATTAACCAGCAGTATCTGAACTTTTCTGTCTGTGTATTTTGTTAGCCACCTTAAAAAAAATTAAAAAAAAGGTATGCGAACCTAGAGGATATTTTCCATATTTTTCACAAATGGTGACAACAATTAATGCAAGTATTATTTTTAATAATAATCCATCTTTCGCTATGACACGAAAACATCGATTTTTTTAATTCTAACTTCTCTCATAGAGCTTCCCTTTAGTCTCTATCTCTTCTTTAACTAAATCCCCGCCTTTTCGAAAAACCCACCTCTAAAAATAGTCAATTTTCTCTAATATAAATTTGTACGTTTTCCGCAATATGTGTGAATATTTTTGCTAGAGCATTTAGTTACTTAGTACATGTCCTAATCAATATTTTCAAAATATAATTCTAATGATACGTGTTTACGATTTGAAGATAACGAAACATTCCCCAGTTTTATAAATGAGAGCTCACTGCCAAACTACCAAACATCACAGTACAAACTACCGTACTACGCCCCCCTGGACAAAATCAGGTTAGTCAGCGTCATTAATTCTACCTGCGTTAACGAATAGCGTATTGTTAATTAAGGTTTAATACGCAGAAAATTTAAGTAACAAATAATTGAAATGAAACTCACTAACATCATAAATTATTAAAAAAAAATTAGAACAGTTGGAATTTACTGGAGTAACCAATTTGGCACTAAAAATGGAAATTTTCCGTACTCTACTAGGTGCCTACAATAAATTTTACTATTATTTTTAATGCAGAGACACAACGATTTTCTAGTTCTGAATTTGATCAGGGGTATATGACCATAGTTTACGCCGACTCTAAAGGCCATGCAGTCTATTGTTATTGAACGCCCCATTTTGTGTATTATGTTCAAAACAGAGACTCTCTGGGCTTACGACTACAGCTACCAGCTACTACTTTCAATAATTTTAACACAAAAAAAAAGTAGGTGACATTTCTATAATACGTGCAAAGTTTATGTGAAACTGACTGGAAGACAGAGTAATGCACCAATATGTTACTAAACATATTTCCATAGAATTCCGTAAGAGCTTACCTCCAAGTTTTCTCATTTAGTCAGTCAAAGCATCAAATGGGAAATTCCAATCCAACATATGTAGTGGTGGAAATATATTAATCGCCTACGTTACCGATGGTACACGACTGAAGCTTCTGCGTCTTCTTTACCCCACATGCCTACTTAAAAAGATACTGGTCTAAGTCTCAATATTCCTGTTAAAAAGAGAGAGGTTCTATATTGCCATTAATATGTGTTTTCAAAATTTTACCTGAATGGTTCGTGATTGCTTATATATGCAGTGTGGCAGCAATGTGGCGACGACTACGCTGAAACTTTTCATATCTCGTGTCCCCATGACTGGTCTGTTTCATATATGAAAGCTCACCTCGCACGGGTTTGAACCTTCTTTAAAAAAAAACAGTCAAGACTTGTACTTATCATATCAAAGTAATATGAGGAACTTATATTTTATGCTAAAACTTATTTTATCACCTCCAAAGGGGAGTAGGGGTATCTAAAGTATGGTAGGTACATCTCTTTCATTTTTTAATTAAAAAAGTGACAAAATTATGCGACGTAACTCGATCCGGATCGTTAACGCGTCTCCAGATGGGGGGTTTAGAGATGCTGAGGCCATTAAATTGATTCACTAATACCAGTACATACTGAAACTTGTTTCCAAAATAAAAAATTGTTAACGGTTAACACAAAAAAAAACTATTTTCTCACCAATTATATTTCTGGGGTCGTTTTCAGAATTTGTCCAACGTAGAATCCCAACAGGATAGGTCCGCAATTTCGAAAAATGTTCATGTCTCCCCGCTATGCATTTGTACACGAAGCAGGGCCGGATTAACAGCAATTATATTCTTGTCAGTCAACATACAGCCGCCGATTGAATTCTCGGGTTCTGCTTTACTAGTTGCCATGGTCTGTCAAATATGTTACCTAAAAAATTGTATATTTTTTTACAAATAATATACCTTTCCTAAAATAATTCCGCCTTTATCAAGTTGGACAAGGGCACGTCAGTCCGTTTTGAAAAGCGCGGCGTATGTATCTTCCAAAATGATCCAAATCGTTAACCTTTAGAGGTTCGACGAATACAATGTTCATTCAACCAGGCCTTCCGCGATGGCAGTTTCGAAAATTTTTGATTCCTATTATGCAAATCTAAACGGAGCAGGCTCGGATTGTCAGCAAATACACAACTCGCCGATTCAATTCTGAGATGTTGCTTCACGAGTTACCATGATCTGTCAAATATTTTAATTAAAAAAAAATCTATTATTTAGCAACAATATACCTTTTTAAAAATAATTTCGTCTTTTTCAAGTTCAACAGGACACGTATGTTCAGATATTTTCAAAATTTGTCCAACGCGGACTTCCACTCACGCAGTTTCGAAAACTTTCTGGTCTCCCCGCCATGCATTTGTACACGAACCAGGGCTGGACTATCAGCAAACAGCACATCCGTCATTTTTCTTTTCGGATTCCGCTTGACGAGTTACATCGATCTGTCAAATACTTAATGTAAAACAATTTTATCCATTACTTTTACCCCAATATTAAGTACCTATTCAAAATTAGTAGCGCCTTTTTGAGTGCGAAAGGTTTCGTAGCCTATAGCCCTGCCGAAATGGCATTGCATTTGTACACGAAGCAGGGTCGGATTGTAAGCAAACAGCACCCCCGGTCACTTTTCTGCTTGACGAGTTACATCGATCTGTGGAATATTTAGCGTAAAAAAAAATTATCTATTACTTTTACCAAAAATGAAGTACCTTTTTTCTTTAAAATAGTTTGTCCTTTTCGAGTTTGAAAGGTTTCGTAGCCTATAGCCCTGCCGAAATGTCATTGCATTTGTACACGAAGCAGGTCGGATTGTCAGCAAACAGCACAAGCGTCACTTTTCGGTTTCTGCTTGACGAATTACATCGATCGGTCAAATATTTAATATAAAAAATATCAATTTTACCAAAAATACGTACTCTTCTAAGATAAATTAGCTCTTTTCGAGTTTAAGAGGACACGTATCGTCAACTGTAGGATGTTTTATTATTATATTTTCCAGTGTCTATAAATTAATAAACAACAGAAGCTTCCGAATACAAAAATTTCAACATGAGTTTTTTTTTTCTTGAAACTTAAAAAGTTCTAACCCCTAAAACCATATTTTTAATACTCTGGCGGACGTATGACAATCCCCAAAAATTACCATATTTAAATTGTTACTATTGATATATTTCTATTCCGAACTTAACTCAATACATGCAAAAAAAAAACTAGCGAATGTTATTTATTATCTCCGATGGGTGGATGATTGAGAAACGTTTAAATAAATCTACCTTTCTGTCTCTCTTTTTCTATATAGGTAACTCATTCTCTCTATCTGTTACTTTCCACAATCCGAATTTACACTTTGTCCCCAAAAATCTTGTAAAATTTTATCTGCTTAACTTCTTCGCGTTGTTCATAAGGCTGAATTTTTTGGGAGATATATCGTGCGTTATTTCTATTAAAATTCTGTTTCCTTTTTACCTACTTCAAAAACGTAAGCGAGCATTTTTGGTTGTTTTATTAAACAAAAATGGATACTAAAAAAGATCCGTATCTCCGACCTCGGCCTCCTTTGATCTCCGACCTCGGCCTCCTTTGATCACTCCCCAATTTTTTTTTTAATTAAGTATAGAAACCTCGTCGAACATATACATAATACTAGGTCAAAATGTTACGCGGTTACTCATTAAAGTCGCAATTCCGAAAGCTTCTTACCTATCTTTTTCCAGTCTTTTTTGTTTTATTTATCCGTATATGAAACACACAATGAACACAAAACTCAAACTCGTTGGCGATATTGCATTAAGCAACAAACGTGGATAACAGAAACGAACCCTTAACACAAACGTTTCTTTAAACTTCGACTGACACGTGAAACAATCCGCATTCCGACGAAAGGCAGGTAAACCAAGCAGGTCAAATTTTAAGCTACCCTCCAGTGTCGTCGTAGGTTCGGGCATAGTAAATAACGAATACAACAAAGCGGTAATTTTTAATAATTTAATTTGCATTTTATTTAACTTAAGTTGTTATGTAGAAAATGTGACATTTCTACAATTAATCAATATACTACGAGTACTTTTCCGCTTAATTACTATTTTGAGAAACAAAAGGAAACGTTAGATTCCATTCAAACTTTTTCGGTTTTCATAATATCTCGCGTTTATTTAGAAGCTAATGGCCTGTGGCCATTAACCAGACGTTTCCAAAGCCTGGTTTGATATTATGTATATAAATCTTAACAAACACAAAAAATAGAGTTATATTGCCACCGAAAATCTGAATTTATATTTAAAAATGTAACTTCCCGTATTTAAACTATTGCCTGCATTGGCGCCTATATTTTATAGTTTTTTTTGTATCCTATTTTTTGTTTTGCTTGCAAATGTGTGTCCATTTTCGGGTACTGAATTTTTTTCTCAAATTAATACAAATTACTCAAAACGGAGTTAAAAACAGACGAGGAGAAAAGGGAAGAACCCTTATTTCTCCGACACTGACCTCCGATTTTTATAAAAATTGTCGCCTTGACACCCTGCCCTTGAATATTTTGCAAAGGATTTTTAAAATTTAACTTCCAAATAACGCATACTCTCGCCTAGTGTCACAGTTTTGGGCCCCATTTTGCTATGGTTAGACAGGTTTATTCTTGTACATTGTCGGGACAAAAGAAGCATCTCCTTACTCTTAATACAACAGCTCCCGGGCATCATCTCGCCTTAATTGTTTCTATTGAATTAATTTTAATTACAAAAAATTAGATGATCGTCAAAATTGGCATAAAAAGATAATCAAGATTTAATTAAATAAGAATATGCACAAAAGAAAAGAGATAAACTCCGACACGGGAAACAAGGAAATATCGCTAAAACGGCAACTGATCTAGCGCGCGCCTTTTTAAAAATAATAATAATTTTTCAAAAGAATTCTAGGCTAAGCTAAATACCTGGTGCAACAAAATATTGAAGGATCTTCATGATCCTACCTGTGAGCGAGTAGAAAATTATTTGCAAAGAGGATAAAGGTATATCAATATAAATAGTTTATAAATTATTTCACTATTGATAATATGTCCCCTTTTAAAATGGCGCATTATTTGATAGGTACTTTTTTCTTGTCAGAGCTTGTCTAAAAAAAAGCGGGATGGATGGAGGTTCTCCGTCAGGTTTTTTCCTGTCGAAACAAGTATGTGAGGCGTTAGCTTTGGATCTGGGGAACGGGTGGGGGTTATACATATATAAGCTATAAGAAATTTTAAATTTTTATTCAGTTACCACTCATACAATTTCGTGATAAGTGCAGAATGAGAAAAATGTCCGAAGTCGAAAATTATCCAACGCAAGCATTGGATTCGTGGGGAAGATTTGTGGTCAATGCGGAAATAATCCGCGAACAAAAATACATTTACGAGGCAGCAATTACGCTGCCGGAATTCGGACTAGAAATTACCTCAGGTCTTAGCCCAGCAAGAATCTTCGCTCCGGCAGTGAAAGTGAGCTTTCTCCCCTACGCTTTGTCGGAGAAAAGAAGCATTTCGTTCGACGAGATAGACTTCACAGAATTAATACAACAGCTTCCACTGTTATTGTCAGCAGGCCCGACTGGTAAAGTTATGTATTTAACCTGCTTCAAACTCAGCTGTCTACAATGTGATGGTGAAGTCTTGGTCAAGATTGAAAATGGCGAGGGTATACTCTATATTTCGAAAGACCGGCTACAGGAATTAAATACCATAAGCAAATTGGTATTTAAAAGAATACGAGTACTGTCTCGTTTGAACTTTTACGAGTACTACGATAGAATATTGTATTTGACTATACATGAAAATTTGCTGGAAGACGCCAAAATCTTTCCGCATATATTAGATGAACAAATCTAAATATAACAAGTAAGTTTTTAATAAACCCATACCGTAAAGTATAAAGAGTGTTTGATATTACAAAGTCAATAATTCTTACCGTGCTTTTTTAAAATTAATTATTTTAAATCGTTTACACCAAAATAATTTCAATTTTCTTTTAATATTTACATCATAGTTTGTAATACGAAATATTATTGTTTAAATATGTTTTAATTATTTACATATTTTCTTAAATCATACAAACTGTATAAATTTCAATATTCTAATATTTGTTTTTCAATTTAAAATTTTACACTTATTTTTTTCGATGAACTTTTAAACGTTACCATATATTTGCAGATGGACAACAAATCACCACCGACAACTTGGTTATGAAGAATACCATTGACCAATTATCAGAAGAATCTCTCAAATCATTTAATAAATACATCATTTAGATGAACAAATTTCCATTCAACGAGTAAGTTTTTAATGTTCCTTTTATATAACACATTAGGTGCAATACTTACTATTACAAATTAATAATTGTTTTATATATTTCTTTATATTTTTAAAATTAACAAAAGAAATATAAAGCCCGAGTTCACGCCATTTATCAAACTTTTTATTTCTTTAAGAAAATTAAGTGATGACTAGAAATGCAATTAAAAAAATCTGTAAAGAATAAAATATAATCTCCTTAAAAAAAATCCAAGTGAATATCACATGAAATATTAAAAATATCCACTATTGCAAAAATTACTTCTCATCCCAACGTGTTATAATTAAGAAAAAGGTAAAAGAAACGATAATAACGCGGACGATTGCGAATTATTTTTAAATTTATCCTAACGAAATCAACAAAAATTACAATATTTTTCTAAAATTTCATCGCATATGATTGTCTAATTCGTCAAATTAACAATAGAAAATATTTCAATTCTAATACTAAATTTCTAACGTCATTGACAATTGCGAGGTGATCCAATACGGTTCTACAATGCCCATCCGAATTTGAAACTATGGTAAACGCAAACACAATCGAACATCGACAGGAAACATAGAACATACCGAAATAAACACACGTCAACAAATTTCAAAATTCTGGAATACCATCGTCGATCGCGTGAAGAATACATCTCGGGGATTTATTTTCAAAAGAACCTAATACATTTTACAAATAGTCGGTATTTAATATAGAACCTTTAATTTTTATGCGACTTTATTTTTTATAACCTCTAATTCATTTTCGTCTTTTCTCCAACGATTATAGGACTTAAAAACTTACGCAAAAATAAAACATAGATGATGGAAGAGTGAAAATACTTGATACAATTCAACAACGAAATGTTTCATCGTGAGGAATCATTTCAATTCAAATTATCGTCGTTGATTGTGTGAAGAACGCGTCGCGAGAATTTTTTTGAAGAAAACATTTTACAAAGAGCAGGTATTTAAGCTATAATTTTTAATTTTCATGCGACTTTATTTTTTATAACCTCTATCTATTCAGATAAAAAACAAGTCATTCTTTTTATGAAGAATGCCTTCAACCAGTCATCCAAAATGATACCGCTGATAATTGCATCACATGCAAAAAAATTATGACTACAAGGACTGATATCATCTAGCCGAGAAGAGGTTTTCCAAGAAATACAATATTTAGATTAGATTCAAATCTACCAAGTAAGTTTTTAATAAACTCATATCGTAAATTGTATACAGTATTTGATATTAAAAACATAATAATTTACATAATACTTTTATAATATTGATTATGTAATTAAATCATTTTTTCAAAACTGACTATATATAACTTTTAATAAATATCCAATAATTTATATTACAAAAATTTTAATACTTAAATCGTTTATACATTATGTTTTTAATAAATATGTTTATGTTTAAAATAAATATGTTTTAATTTCTTGATATTTGTTATAAAATTTAAAATTTTAAGTTCACTTCTTTCAAAAATAAACATTTACACGTTACTATATTTGTGCAGATGGAAAACAAATCATCATCGACAACTGGATTATAAAGAATACCACCGATCAGTTATCTGAAATGAAATCATTGACAATTTCATTCAAAAGAATATCATTGAAACTTTACAAGGACCATCATCATTTAGACGAAAGAAAATCATCAGAGGAATATATCATTCCAATGGATAGTTTGAAATATAAAATTGTAAGTTTTTGAAATACTTTTCAAAAGCAATGTTTTTAAAGGTACTTAAAAATAATTGATAATTCTCCAATTGAAATACATAAATTATATGACAAATATTATTTGAAAATTTTATCATTCACACAAATTATTGACAACTTGTAAAAGTAATTTTTTTAGGTAGTTATATGTTCAATTGTAGATGACAATTGAAATTATAATATTAATATTTTATAAAATTCTTGTAAAAAGTCATATAAATATTTTTAATTATTCTTTATTTTCCTTTGCAATTTAAATAATACTTTGTAATACAACATACCTATATTTAATTTATTTATATATACTTTCAATTATATACATTGTTTCTTTTTTTAATAGAACATTAACATATTTGGTCAATCTTCAAAACTGGCCAGCAACGGCAACATCGCGAGCACCGTAAAAAAAAGGTTGCCTGCAAAAAAAGGATCGGCGCTGCCGACACTTAAGAGAGACCGCGGGACGCTGGGTCTCGACATTACAACCCGTGCTAGCAAACGTTAAGCTTCGTTATTCATTTTCATATGTTTTTTCCTTTGTTTGTTAGATGTAAAAGTTTGTTAAGTTGTAAAAGTTACAAAATAAACTTATCAAAAAATACAGTCCACTCAATCGAACAACAATCAGCGCAGCAAATAACGTGGACCTACGTTAAAACCCACCATTTTGGTCCTTCGAGCCGGATTGAAATATCGTTTAGAAGTCTTCTAGTCCCAGCGAGTGGAGAAGACAACCATTAAAGGTTCCTGCGAAATTACGTCGAATAGAATTGAAGCGAGTACAGCGGTTGGCAACCAGCAGACGGCAGGTGTCGACAAAGAGCAAGTAGGTCCATTCCATTTTCCAAAAAATCCATTTCACTCTCGAATATTTTCAATTTATTAGTTAGTTTTTTCCTAGTTTGTCATTCGGATTTGTACGTGCGCAGTATTAAATTTCGAGAAAAATGACGGAAGCTAACGAATCATTAAACGCGAAATCTCTCATAAATAAAAGGGGTATTCTAAAAGCTAGGCTAACAAAATTCGAGTCGCGAATTTCCTAATTTGAGCAACAAGAAACATCTTTGTCCGAATTAAAATTACGCCTAAAAAAGATAGAAGAAACATGGGAAAAGTTCGATAAAATTCAATCAGAATTAGAAATACTAGATGCTTCGCAAGTCAACGAACGCGATGTATTTGAAGAAAACTATTTCAGGGTAGTTTCTAAAGCTTCTACAAAGTCACTAGAAAAGCTTGCGATGGCAAGCAGACAAACCGAAAGTCCAATTCAACAAGTAAGCAATTCTAATAGTGTACTTCCAAATTTACCAACAATGAATGTTCCATTTTTTTCGGGTTCTTACGAGGGTTGGATACCATTTTTCAAAATATATGAGTCAGTCATACATAACAGAATCGATCTGTCAAATGTTCAAAAATTTTACTATTTGCAGTCATATTTGAAAGGTGAGGCAGCGCAAATCTTACACTCATTAGAGCTAAGCGAAACTAATTATGACGTCGCGATTGAACTTTTAAAAGAGCGTTTTGAAAACAAAAAAATGTTAATTCACAATCATATGAAAAATCTTTTTGATTTAGCTCCGGTGCCTAGGGAGTCGCACGTAGCAACACGTAAGCTAATCGATACGATTCAGCGAAATACTCGCGCGCTACAAAATTTAGATGAACCTGTAAATCATTGGGACACTCCAATAATATTCGTAACAATAAGCAAATTAGATAATCAAACTCGCAAAGAGTGGGAAGCTTCCACTACCAAGATAACAAGCCCGAAACTAGAAGATTTATTGAATTTTCTTAAAAATAAATGTCAATTATTAGAAACAATAGACAATAAATCTGCTAGCAAGGACAAAACGCATTCTCACGTTGTAACTAATAACGAAAAGCATTCAAACCATTCCAAATTTAAATTCAGATGCTCTTTTTGTAAACAGGACACGCATGTCACATATAGGTGTCGCAAATTGCTTGCCATGTCAATTAACAAGAGATTAAGCGAATTAAAAAGGGCTCAAATATGCACAAACTGCTTGCAAATCGGCCACAAAGCGGATGATTGCAAGGGAAAAACATGTCAAATTTGCAATAAACGCCATAACACCATGTTGCATGATCCTGAATTTAAACTCGAAATCAAAATAAATGAAAATGTCAAAAACAACGAACCACAAATCGATAATATAAGCGAAGACAAAACGGTCGCCTTAACATCCAATTTTTATTTGCCAAATAAAAATCAGGTATTATTAGCCACCGCGGTTATTAAAGTTCTTGACAGCGACAATAAATTTATTTGCTGTCGGGCGCTATTAGATTCAGGGAGTCAATCTAACTTTTGTACTAAAGAATTTTTTGAGCGACTTAAGTTACCAGGGAAACGTTTGGACTTGTCAATTTCAGGTATAAACGGATCATCCTCCAACATCTGTTTTCAAGTGGATACGCAGTTAATTTCTACTGACAATAAATACCAGGCATCGTGGCCACTTCTAGTTGTCGACCAGATAACATCTGAATTGCCACAATATTCTTTCGATGTTACTAGACTAAGTATTCCAAGCCATTTACATTTAGCTGATGATTGCTTTAACATTTCTCGGCATTGATGTTTTACTCGGCGCAACTATATTTTTTGACATTTTAAATTATGGTCAAATGAAACTGGGAAAGAAAAATCCCATATTGCAAAATACAAAACTTGGATGGGTGTTAGCTGGTCCAATGCAATGTAACGGCTTTGACAATAAATCGGATAGTAAATGTTTTCTTAATGTTGACAAGTTAAGTCGACAAATTGAAAAGTTTTGGCAACTCGAAAACGTCGATAATCCACATTCAAAATTGTCTAACGAGGAACTCGATTGTGAAATCCATTTCCGTGAAAAAACGCGAGTCAATTCGAATGAACAATACGAGGTAAAATTACCGCTGAAAGATTCTTATGTCGAATTAGGTCAATCACTGCCGACGGCGATTAAACGTTTACATTTTCTTGAAAAGCGGCTAGCAAGGGCACCCGACACAAAGGCTCAGTATATTTCCTGTTTACGGGAGTATGAAAAAATGGGTCACATGACTCGCTTAACTGAAAGGGAAATAAATGAACCCGCCTTATCATATTATATTCCACATCATGTAGTTTTTAAGGATCAAAGTTGCACTACCCGCGCTCGCGTAGTTTTCGATGCCTCGTGCGTTACCTCAACAGGCTTAAGTTTAAACGAAGTATTGAAATTAGGTCCGAAGGTGCAGGGAGAAATTCAACAGATCCAAAAATCCGAAAAATCATAATGGAAGATTTTTATATTGACGATCTTATTTCGGGCGCAGAAAATGTTTCTGACGCGATAAAACTTAAGCAAAATATTTCGGCTACCTTGTTAAAATCAGGTTTTACAATAATTTACGTAAGTGGAGATCGAATGATCTAAGTGTTCTAGAAAATGATAATTTTAACACAAATTCAGAATTTTGCATAAGGAGCAGCGAGGAGACCAAAACTCTAGGGGTTATTTGGGATCCGATTAGTGATACGCTTTGTTATGCTTTTAATTTATCTATTAAAGCCGATCTAATTACAAAGCGAAGTATACTTTCCGGTGTTGCACAATTATTCGATCCTTTAGGCCTCATTAACCCGTGTGTGGTGAAGGCAAAATTAATTCTACAACAACTTTGGCAAATCCAAGCAGATTGGGATTCCGAAGTACCGCAAGGCATAAAAGAAAATTGGTCAAATTTTTTGGAAAACTTGCACTCGTTGAATGACATAAAGATTGATCGCAAAATTTTTAGCCCGGACTACACTAAAATTGCTTTACACGGTTTCTGCGATTCATCCATGCACGCGTACGGCGCATGCATCTATGCATTGTCCGAAAATTCCTATGGGGAAAGAAAATCAAATTTAATTTGTGCGAAATCGAAACTTGCACCTTTAAAAACACAAACACTACCTAGACTAGAATTATCAAGCGCATTACTTTTATCCCAGTTAATGTCGAAAGTAGTACGAATTTTACGAGTCCCAATTTCCTCAGTTACCTGTTGGACAGATTCTATGATAAGACTTTCATGGATTAATTCGGAACCGAACAAGTGGAAAACATTTGTTTCGAATCGGGTTTCGGAAATACAAATATTAAGTGAAAATTCATCGTGGAAACACATTGAATCGGAAAATAACCCAGCTGATATTATTTCACGTGGTTTAAACCCATCGGAGTTAAAGAATTGCCAAAAATGGTTTTAAGGTCCTACCTTTCTTATCGAGGAAGAAAGCTCCTGGCCTAAAACGCAAATTGTTAATATGCCCGACTTACCTGAGGCGCGAAAAGAAAACATCATTTTATCTTTTACTTTATTAAATAATCTTGACTTAATAGAACGTTTTTCAACTTATCGAAAATTGATTCGTATCACCGCATATGTATTGCGATTTGGCTACAATTTAAGGCACAAAAAGGCAAGGCGATTTAATACACTGCTTCAATGTGAGCTTGACAATGCAATTACCAAATTATGTATCAATATTCAGCATCAAGTTTTTCAGACGGAAATTAAATGTTTAAATTCAAATCAAAACATTCCAAAAGGCAGCAAGTTGCTTGCTTTAAGTCCATTTATCGACGAAATTGGTTTACTGCGCGTAGGAGGACGTTTGAAAAATTCTCATCTTGCTTTTAATCATAAGCATCCAATTGTTTTGCCCAGCAAACATCATTTCACTAGGCTTTTAAATGAACATTATCACAGAAAATATTTACACGCTGGTACCCAATTTATTCTCGCGCAAATAAGAGAGGATTTCTGGCCGCTGAAGGCAAAAAACCAGATCCGCAGCGTTTTGAGAAAATGCATGGTATGCTTTCGTGTAAAACCTTTTAATAT